GCGTGTGATCATTCCAAAATATTAACTTTCTGGAAGTAAAACTCTATTTCTTCATTGCATAAGTTTTCTTTACTAGATTAGAGCAGTTATTATAAATGAAAATGAACTGGTTAAAAAAATAGTAACTGATTATAAAATTAAAATTAAAATAGAACAACTTTTATCAATCAGTATTTATACTAATAAGACGAATGACAATGTCATAAAAACACAAATTAACGATAATTTCATTTATTTTCAGTTACTTATTGAATGTTTTATTAGAATGAAATTTAATGGAAACGATCAAAATGAATTGATTTCAATGTTAAAAAGGTGTGGGTGTGGGTGTGATTGTAAATGTTATCTTTAGATCAACAAGGGACATACATACACACACCCACACCCAATTTTCTTTCTCTTTATTTTGTCTTACTGGATAAGTCATTCATCGTGCACAACAGCTGCTCTTGGTTCTGACCTAATTCTCTTAGTCTGCGAGAATAACTATAATTAACAGAAGAACAGGAAGAGAAATCGATCAACATGCAAACAATTCAGTGCTTTTAACTATAAAAAAAATATTTGAATTGCGCCTAATCAAAATTCAAATTTCAATTTTGACTGGATTTGAATTTTGCCTACATCATATATATATATATAAATATATATATCATGAAAAGCACAACGGAAAGAGTAATAAAAAAACGCAATAATAAAGAAAATATAACTACGTAATACTTAGTAGAAAAAATTAAAATGACGCAACAAAGAAAGGTAATCGTGTTCTCATGATGATCAATCGTAAAATACCTATCAAATAGGAAAGAAAGAAAGAAAGAAAAGATATGTATGCGTACGACTAGTAGGATAATGCATGAGATAGAAAAGAAAAGAAAGAAGAAAACAAATATATATATATAGTAAATACTAGTTAGCGTCATAAAGTAACAAAAGTTGACGCTAACAGCATCAGACAGTTACTCGGTTCCTTCTCATCAACATGATTCTACACTGTGTATGCGACGCAATAAGTTTCAAATTAACGTGCTTCTTTAATTTTTTGCAAGCATTGTTATTCAGTCTGATGATGTTTAAATTTTCTTGAGTCATCATGATCAACTGCATCGACTTCGCGAACTATTTTACTAGGGAAGAAGGAGTTCGCTACTCATATAGGACATTTGCTCTATTGTTTTCAGCAAACAACTAATTTATACTAATTCAAAATCCCATCGACGGAGGCTTTTGACTTAAGATCACATTCAATTTAAAAAAACGCATTTCTCAGTAGTAGTTGTTAGTACTTGTGACGACACAGTAGTTTCTCTGGTTCCATTTTTTGTATCGTTCTATTGTTTTCTCTCTGTATCTTTTGATTCCCCTCTCCTGTTTCTTTCTTTCCTCTTCATCGGATGCCCGTACATAAAAACGTGTGTTGTATGTAAAAACGTTGCGATTGTCGACATAAAAGAGCCGAATAAAGCATAACAGTATCTTCGCTAGCTTCTCTTGTATCAAGAGCGTCACAGTACTGAAAGATATGGAAAGAGAAGTACAAAAATTACACTACAGAGTTTGTTCTCTTACATTCTAGATAAAGTAATAGATAAAAACAAATGTATTCCGAGGATATTCTTTCTAAAACTACTTGTTGATACTATCTGTCGACACGACATAGCACGCTATACTCTTCTTCGTAGTTTGGATATTTAGCACAGACCTTCATATCCGTTTCTGTCTATGTATCGCTTAGCTCGATTTTTATTCTTTAAAGATTTCTGTTAGAACCAAGTGTTTGAAAAATAGAATTTCGACATCGATCAACTTTTGGAGAAGAGCATACTATGTCCGATCGTATTGCGGCAATCTACATCAGGGAATCAAAACGTTTCCAGGGCGACTTTCGTTTTTTGCTCCTATATACTAGAAGAACAGCAACACTTATCTATTGATTTATCAAATTGAACATTTCTTGTTTTGTTCGTTTTAAATGTATATTTTCATATAGGTAAACTATGCATTCAGTGTCGACAATTCTCGAAGTTCAAGTTTGATCTTGCTGCACCGTATATTCAGACAATATTGTATAAAGCAATAGATGGCGAACAAGTGTCATGCGGTGCAATAATTGAACCAATGTAGTGCTCTAAACAGGAGATGATATGTCATTCGAAGGTGATCCAAAAGTAGATCGATCAATAACGCAAGTTATGTTTAGTTGTTTATGCTTTAATTATAGGAAATATACATTAGTACTGAGAATATCTCATTTAGGAAGGCTGAGCGATGTCTTCAAAAAATCGAGAATTTATTCCACTTCCAGTAACAATGGTTGATACCCTACAAAGTCATGAAAGAATCTTTCTTTAGAAGGCACCACATGTGAATGCAAACGTCTAGTTCAGTAGCAGTACTTCTTCAATTTCACTCTTCTTAAGCAGAAATCAAAAAGACCTAGAACGATATCATCACTTTCTTGTCACTTCGAAGAGAAATTCAAGTGGTGATGGAGATGCAGCAGTAGAAATATAAAATATTTAAGCGGAGACGCTTCATCGATTTCGCCATACACAAAAAACAGTAAAAACGACGTAGAAAGAGACAGCGCTATATTTCTCTTTCGTCTGAGATTTAGAGACAACAAAAATTCGGCCATAATTTACACATATACATGTATGTATATTTTTGGCATGCGTTCCGTTCATTTCTCCTTGATATATATAACTTATGTAGGGCGAAGCATTTCTCTATCGACTACTCCGTTTGTCAATTGTTGGATCTCATAGAAACGCTTATCCTACTGGATGCTGAGTGTAGAACGATATCCAGAAAACTCTATAAAATACATTATGACAGTTAGTTGGAGCATTTGAGGATGTAGGTGTAGTAAATGAGTGACATCAATACCCACACCCTCAAGAGGAAGAATCAAAAGAAAAAGAAGAAATAATATTGTTGAGATTCTTTGGGGGCGAAGTTTAAATTTATCTATTGTTGGTGACTATGATAGAAATAAATTAAAATGTCAAATGTATTCTTATAATTTTTGTTTTAATATTTGAATTTGTTCGATTGTTGTTCTTTCTAAAAAAGAGTAAATCATCAATGAAAACATAAAGAAACATGATCTTTTATTAAAACAAACATAGTTTATATTTAGTTCTCTATTGACTAATTATTTCGTTGTATCATACCACATGATATATGAATAATTCATCCAAAAGTGATTCCTTCTAGGATGTGCCGAGACCGAGAAGATCGGTATCGATACATGCATAATTCCTTCCCTTTAGACTAATTTAGTTTTCATTCAACTTGAATTACTTATTCTCGGTTGATTTTGTTGTTTTATTCTTCGTATAAAATTAACTAATAATGGTACAATGACTCTTAATCTTGTTACTAATCCATCGAATAATGCAATTATTTTTGTAATTGTATAAATAATTTCATTTTTTAATTCATAACTATATGTATATTGTGATGATTGATACTCAGAATAATATTGATTGATTTCATTCTTGAATTGTTGAATTTGGATCATATTGACTTGATAAGGGTGGATTAAATGTATTGATTTTCATTGACGAAGAAAATGTGAATTAAGATTGATTATTAGAAAAAGTGAAGGTAGATCTTGAAATATTGATAAAACTTATCAGTCCAACATCATCTCGATGTAAAGCACCGTGCTGACGAGAATAATAAACATAAAGAATTAATCCGATCTTGAGTAATAAGAATACACTTGAATATACTTCATGAACTTGATTTTGAATGTTAAGAAATCTTTTATAATTAATTTATGTATTTTTAGATGTTGTCAAGAAAACCGGAAAAGAAAAATCCGGAATAGAAAATCCGGATAAACAAAATCCGGAAAAAATAAATCCGGGAAAAGAAAATCCAGAAGAGAAAAAAAGGGAAAAATTTACTTGTAGTTTATTAGTCATAAAAGACGCAACAAGTAAAAGGTATAGACATATTAAAGAGAACTTGATAAGCTCATGTCTTTGAAGTCGTCAGCAGTGAGAGTCTATCAAGACGCTCGATACAATCGATGTCGTCATTATAGCAGTGGGTGTTCAGGTTGTGGATCTGGATGGATGTGAGTTGGTGGGTGAGAATGAGTGTAGGTGTGGATGTATAGGTATGGACTCCTATTCTTCCACATGAACACCCACACCCTTTCGCTCGTATAGTATCGGGGGAAATCATGAACCAAATATCATGTAAACAAACAAGTAAACCCATAGTTAATTTCAGGACTAAGACGCTGACTACAGTTAGAAATGCATCAGTTGCAATTCTAGGATTGAAATTGCTCAGAATTGGTGAAGAATTGCATTAACTGGAATTAGTTGAAATTGACATGGAATGGACTCAAAATGATTAGAAATCGTAGGAACTATCATGCCATTGGCTGAAACTCATCGAAACTAAGACTAGATTGGTACGAATTGCTATAAATTACAGAAAATGGATCTGATTCAGCAAGTATTTGTAAAAGATTTTTCTATAATTGGTTTAGAATAGGAATAAACTTTTGTTATTTCTATTTGAATGTATTCTAATTTTTATTAGTTACAGTGATGAAGAAAAGACACTGGTTATTCAGTTTGTGTAAGTTCTGATCAATTCTAAGTCAATTATAGAAAAATTTTCACAAATACTAGCTGCATCCGATCAGTTTCCAGTAATTTATAGTGATCCGTACTAATCTAGTTTTAGTTTCGATCAGTTTCTGCCAATGACATGATACTTCCTACGATTTCTGGTCATTTTGAGTCAACTTCATGTCAATTTCAACTAATTCCAGTTCCAATTCTAACCAATTCCAACCAGCTCTAGAATTGGAACCGAACAGAATTGGAATTGGTGTATGCCTATTAATAATAATCGAGAAAATGTCACCTTCTTTTTTAGACTGTAAACAACACCGAATTTATTCGATAATTATATATAGATTAAACACATAATTTTTGAGAACTATACTATTTTTGATTTCTTAAATTAACATGGCCACTGCTGTTCTACCAAATGATAATTTTTATCCAAATACCGATGATAAGTCTCTGGAAATATTCTCACTTATATGGCTCGATGAGAATGCAAACGTCAAAGAAACTCGAGGCACCGAACAAAAATTACGTTCTATTATTAATCATATCAAGAAATTTCAAGATGTAAGACAATTTCAACAATATATCGAACAAAGATCAGAGCGAGATCGATTAGCAATTATTGTTAGTGGTCGATTAGGACGAGAAATAGTACCCCTCTATCATCAACTTCGACAAGTTATATCAATTTATGTTTACTGCATGGATAAGGAGAATCATGAACAATGGGCTCTAAAATTTGCAAAGGTAAACCTATGCTAAAAGGTTATTATTTCATTTTATTAATTTTTCATAGGTGAAATCTGTTGTTGTCGATCTTGATGAACTTGTCTATCAAATTACAACAGATCATAAAATTCAGAAAAAGATAGAAGAGCCATTATCAATCAATATTTTCAGTACAAGTGTTGATGCAGGAAAGTCAACAACAGGAGTTAATGGGCAATTTGTTTTTTCTCAAATTCTTTTTGATTGTCTTCTGCGATTAAAATCAACTGAAATAGACAAAAATGAACTTATTAATCTTTGTGAGAATGAATATGAAGGAAATTATATCGAACTAAACAATCTTCATGAATTTCAACAACATTATTCACCTGATAAAGTGTTATGGTGGTACACAAAAGAGTCATTCTTCTACAAAATTCTTAATGCAGCTTTACGTACACAAGATATTCATAGAATCTTTTTATTTCGTGCATTTATTTATGATATTTATTGTCAATTGTATAAATCTCAATCTAAGCGTCGTTTGCAAGTTTATCGAAGTCAACTAATGTCGATCGATGAGTTAGATGGTCTTAAAAATAATATTGGTCAATTCATCTCTATAAATTCAATGTTTTCCACTAGTAAACAACGCACAACAGCTCTCTTCTATTTGGGTGATATAACTACACAAATTGATTTAGAACGAGTATTATTTGAAATTGATGCTGATCCTAAGATCGTCACTACAAAACCATTTGCTGATATTAGTGAACATAGTCATTTTCCAAGTGAATCAGAAGTGCTCTTTATGATTGGTTCCATTTTTCGTCTTGATAATATTAATCTTAATGATGATCAAATATGGATCATTAAAATGACTTTATGTAATGATGATGAACATAATTTAAAACAAGTTCTTATGCATATGAAACAACAAATTGAAAATGAGGAAACAAATCTTCGAACATTAGGAAAACTATTGTGGAAAACGGGTAAACTGGATTTGGCTGAAAAATATTTTACTCGTTCGTTGAAACAACTTCCATCAAATGATCCATTACATATCAGTTTATATGAAGATCTTGGCGAATTGGCATCACAGAGAGGTGATTATGATATGAGTATAAAATGGCGTCAAAAATTACTTACATTCAAAAAGGAAAACCCATTAGCAACCAATGTCAGTGTTAATAATACAAAAAATTCCATCGGTAAGTTTATTGAAAAAAATCTCTGATTTCCGAGCGAGTGATCCATATAAAAATGAATCTTTCATCGCCGAAAACAATCTCTAAAAATTGAAAAAGATGAAACTCGTTGAGAGAAATAAATATTTCTTTAAAAAAAATGAAGTTTTGTGTTTATGAGTTAATTATTTTAGATGACAGAAAACTATTTAGGATTGAAATCAAATCGATACTTTCGATATTGACTAACATCAACTCTATTTATAGTTTATCTCTTCCTTATATTAGACTGTCACACAGTTTTTACGATCACATTAATATTTAGTTCTTCAATTATCTTTCTAAATTATGACACTTATATGAATAAGGTGAGAGATCTGTCTATTCAATAGTAAATCGTATAAGAGAGTGTGAATATTGCAACAGTTATTTAATTCAAATGCGAATATAGATGGAGAACTTAGTGATTAGCATCGATTTGTAAATATATGAAAAAATTTAAAGTGACACTTTCATATATGTTTAGAAGAAAAGGAAAAGAAAAAGTTTTTCCTTCAATATAATTCATAATTCAAGTTATATAGCATGACATGTCTAATTGCATTTCTAATATAAAATGAATGATTTATATCAATTATAATAAAATGTAATAATTAATATTTTTACTGTACATTAAGAAAAGAATAAAAGTTCTGTTTTTCTTATACTTATCTTTTATGATAAAAATGATGAATATTGACTTCATGCCAGAAGTTCACAAACAGACTAAAACTTGTTTTTCGTTTGTGAATTTTGCGAAACTTCGTAGCTATGATACTAACTGTTATATTGATGAAAACTGTTTAATGTGTAATATTCAAATATTAACGAACTAAAATGGCAAATAAAAAGCTTTGCCAGTCATTTTCATCTGAGGACTGTCAATCAGTCATTTCATCAGTGGTTCGATAAACTTCTTTCCTTACAAAAATCAAGGGGTGAGGCTATAGCATGACGATTATAAATCGTCATAGTTTTTGAACTATACATAGTTCTCCATTCGAAATAGATTCGCTCAAAAAAAAAGCCAAGAGCATATAGAAAGTCACTTTTTGGGAAGTACTGCATAAAAGTGCCTGTCGGCTGTGCTCGTATACTATAGCTTTTAAAACATTATCGAATCTATATCTTATCCTTATGACAGTAGGATATGTCACGACCAAAATCTCTCTTTGCTATGAGAAACTTTTTTTCAATCAGTCGCATTTTGTGTCAGCGTCAAGAATCTATACATAAAACGCTAAGCCAACATGTGTCGAAATGCGAGAAAGGTAGAACAGATCACGATTCGAATAGTACTGAAATTTATTTTTTCACAACAGCTCATCGACGTTTGCTTTTGTTCAACTAAGACTACTGACATCACTTATGATAAACGATATTCATGACAGTTTATACTTCTTTCTAGTGAACTACAGAGTCGAAAAAATCGACTCCGAAATTCGACTTCGACTCCAAAAAACTTTTTTTTTCATTCCGATTCCAACGCCGACTCTGAAATATTTTTTTTTCGTTACCCCGAGTCCGCGGAGTCGGAGTCCGGAACAACTCCGCAGTTCACTATCAAAGAAAATTATGTAATATAATTAATTGTATTGAAATATTTCATGATGTTGAAGGATGTAAAAACTATATTGAAAAAACATCAGAAAATGATCGATTAGTTCTTGTTACTAACGGTAAATTCGGTCAACAAATTATTCCTTCAATTCATCAATTAAGACAAATTTCATCAATTTATATCAATTCAGAAGATACACAATGGTCAAATGATTTTCCCAAGGTAAACAAAAAGTATTGATAACATTTAATTTCAATAATTATTTTTCTAGGTAAAAGGTAGTCATGTTAAAATGGATGAACTGGTTTCACAAATTCGTAAAGATCATAAAAATCCTCGAAAAATGGAAGAACCTGTATGGATAAATATGTTTACCACATTAAGTGATGCAGGAAAATCAACAACAGCAATCAATGGTCAATTTGCATTTTTTCAAGTATTACTTGATTGTCTTCTTCGATTAAAATCAAATGAAAATGATCGAAATGAATTGATTTCATATTGTAAAAAACAATATGAAGGAAACCAAAATGAATTAAATCATCTTCATGAATTTCAGAGCAGTTATTCGCCGGATTATGTTTTATGGTGGTACACACGTGAATCTTTCTTTTATAAAACATTAAATGAGGCTTTAAGAAAAGAAAACATTCATATGATTTATTTATATCGTTCATTTATTATTGATATACAAAATCAATTAGAAAATCATCAATGTCAATGTGCTACGCGTGTTTATCGAAGTCAATTAATGTCAATTGATGAATTAAATTATCTTAAAAATAGTATTGGACAATATGTTTCAGTTAATTCATTTCTGTCGACGAGTTTTCAAAAAGAAATTGCTACTTTTTATCTCGGTGATACAAATTATCGATGGAACGATTTTGAAAAAGTTTTGTTTGAAATTGATGCTGATCCAAAAGTTGTTACAACAAAACCATTTGCTGATATTAGTCAATTTAGTGATTTTATTGTTGAATCAGAAGTTCTTTTTATGCTTGGATCGATATTTCGTTTGAATTCAATTACTCGTGATAATCAAAATTCATTTTGGATTATTCAAATGTGTTTATGTAGTGATGATGAACATAATTTAAAACAAATTCTTATAGATATGAAAAATGAAATTGGAAATGGTGAAACAAATCTTTGTATTTTAGGAAAAGTTGTACGAAGAATGGGACATCTCGATTTAGCGAAGAAATATTATTATCGTTGTTTAGATGAACTTTCACAAAATGATCCTTTAGTTCTTACTGTTTATAAAGATTTGGCTAAAATTGCTTTTCAACAAAAAGATTATGAAGAACATCTTCGGTTGAGACGCATTTCAGCGAGAATCAAAGATGAAATACAATTAAATGATAATGAGATTCAGACAAGTGAAATAAATAAATTAACCGATAATGGTAAAACAAACATCAAAGAGAAAAATTCATTAGCTACCAGTGCTAGTATTATTAAAACAATCGGTTCTATTGGTCAGTTTATTCGTAAAAAACTATTCGCATTCAGAAAGCCACATCAACTAACTGTCAATTCCAATATTAATAAAGCAAACTATCCCATCGGTAAGTTTATTGATATAAAATCTCTGATTTTTAAACGGGTGATCTATATAAAAAGAATTTTTTCTTACCGAAAAAAAATCTGTAAAAATTAAAAAAGGTAAAACTGGTTGAAAGAAATAAATGGTCCGCTAAAATAATTTTGTTTTATGTTTATCAGTTAGTCATTTTAGACGACAGAATATTATTTAGAATTGAAATCAAATCGATACATTCAATGTTGATTAACATCAACTCTATTTATATTGTTTCTTTTTCTATTATTAGATTATTACACATTTTTTACGACAACATTAATAGTTAGTTCTTTACTTACCTTTCTAAATCGTGATACTTATATGAATAAAGTGAGAGATCTCTCTATTCAATAGAAGATCATATAAGACTATGCGAATATTGTGTCAGTTATCTAATTCGAGTGCGAACATAGATGAAGAACTTGGTGACTAGCATCGATTCATAAATATATTTAAAAAATCAAAGCGACACTTTGATGTATGTTTAGAAGACAAGGAAAAGAGAAAGTTTCTTCGATATCATCTATAACTCAAGTTATATAATATCAAATGTCTAATTGAATTTTTAATATAAAATGAATGATTTGTATCAATTATAATACAATGTAACAAATAACAATTTTACTATGCATTACGAAAAGGGTAAAAGTTCTGTTTTTCCTATACTTATCTTTTATGATAAAAACGACAAACTCTGATTCTAAAGCAAGTTCACAAACAGACTAAAACGTTTTTTTCATTCAAATATAAGCAAAATCTTTTCTCTTTCAGACCAAACAATTTTTGTCAATCACATTAATATCAACACAAAATGGAAACAACTTGGAATTACTGTTGCTGGAGGAAATGGAGAAGGGCAGGAATTATATCAACTCTCTCATCCTCAAGGTATCTATGTTGATGATGATCATCAAACTATTTATATTGCTGATTATGATAATCATCGTATTGTTGAATGGAAATATGGAGCAAAGAATGGTCAAGTTGTTGCAGGTGGAAATGAAAAAGGAAATCGAAGTGATCAATTGAATTATCCAACATATGTGATTATTGATAAAAAGACTAATTCTCTTATCATTTGTGATTATGGAAACAAGCGAGTGGTACGATGGTCTTGTCAAAATGGTAGAAATGGTGAAACAATCATTTCTAATATTGATTGCTGTCGTTTAGCAATCGATAAAGATGGACATCTTTATGTCTCTGATTGGAAAAAGAATGAAGTGAGACGATGGAAACAAGGAGTGAAAAAAGGAACAAAAGTAGCAGGCGGAAATGGACAAGGAAATCATCTTAATCAGCTCCATTATCCTACTTATATCTTCGTTGATGAAGATCGTTCAGTTTATGTATCGGATTATGAGAATCATCGTGTGATGAAATGGATGAAAGGTGCAAAAGAAGGTATTGTTGTTGCTGGTGGAAAAGGTGGAGGGAATAGTTTGACACAATTGTCTTGTCCTCAAGGAGTGGTTGTTGATCATTTGGGTAATGTTTATGTGGCTGATATGTGGAATAATCGAATAATGCGTTGGTGTAAAGGATCTGGCGAAGGTAGTATTATTGTTGGCAGAAATAGAGAAGGAAATGGACCAAATCAATTCAATCATCCCAGAGGTTTATCATTCGATGTAGAAGGTAATCTCTATGTTGTCGATTATGTCAATCATCGAATACAAAAATTTGATATTGATTCAAAATTCAACTTATTTGAAGATCTTGGTGAACTCGCATCACATATGAGTGATAATGATATGAGTATACAATGTCGTCAAAATTCACTCGTATCCAAAGATCAAAATCAATTAACTACCGATTCTAATATTGGTGAAGCAAACAAGTCGACTGGTAAGTTCATTGAAAGATAATCTATGAATTTTGGACGAGTGATCAATATAAAAGTGAATATTTTAGAGACAGACAAATTTTTAGAGATTTAGAAGGGCAAAACTCGTTAGGAGACACGACTCATCCTATAAGAAAAACTTGTTTTTTTCAATTAATCAGTCATTTTAGAAGATAGAAAATTGTTTTTCAATCAAAATCAAATCGATATGATAAGAATAGGTTGGTATCGACTTTATTCTCTTATCATTAGACTGTTAGACACTCTTCATGACAACATAAATATTGATTTCTTCGTTTGTCTTTCTAAATCATGACATTAGTATATGAGAAGTCAAAAGTCTTTTTACTGAATAGTGAAACGTACATAAAAAAGGAACTAGTTTTTGATCTTTTTAATCTTGTAATAATTAATAAACATAATAATTATTCTCATCAAGGTTTTTAAAAAGTTTTATTTAAAGTACAGTTAGTCAGTATAAATTCATAAATATATTCAATTAGCAAACAATTCTCATAAAATCTGTTTATAAAATTTAGATAAGTTAATGTGTAAATTGTTGCTAAGTTGAAGATAAAGCATGTACATTACATATATATGTTACAGTAGAAATTAAAATTCATCTATAGCAAAAACTCAAATTCCAATTTCTACTAGTGCAACGTAAAATCGCCTCTTATCTTAGTTTCTCCTAGAAAAAATGAAATTTTAAATTCCACCGAATTTTACTCTCTACTGCAACATCCATATATATATATGTAAAGTTTGAATGTAAGAAAAGTTTTACGAGGTGTTGAAACTTAATATTAAATAGAAAGTAAAATATAAGTTTTTAAAATAAATTTTTTTTAGAAGAGTTGATACATTTCTGTAATTGAATGAAACGTTCTCAAGGTTTTTCTAAAATGTTTTGTATTTTCTGCGCTGTTTTCTATGTTCATAGTATTAAAAGTATTATCATAATATGAGAATGCTATATTTTCCAGCTAATCTTTTTTTTGAGTAAAAAGTAAGTTTTATTTGAATATTAAAATATTTTTAAGAGGACATAACATAATATTAAAAAATTATACAATATATTTTACTAAAAGCAAAAAAAATTAATTAGTTTTGAATAAAATGAAGCGAAGAGATTGATGAGAAGTAAAAGAGGACGAAAAGCTATGCTCAAGTGATGAAATGTTTTCTGATTGAAAATTATTTGTAGTTTCTAACGTTATTGTTATCTTATAAATAGAAAAAATCCAGTAGTGTCAAATACGAAAGTTGAATTCAGATATTCAAATGGAAGTGGCTATGTGCACTCGAGTGTACATAGCCACCTGACTATGTACACTCGAGTGCACATAGCCACTTCCTATTCAAATACTGAGATATTCGAATATACAAACATTCAGATATTAAAATATTAAAGTTTTCAACTATTCACGCAACTACACTCACATTAACAATACCCAAAATATTCTGCAACCTACTCTAGCAACACCTACACTCACACTTCTACCAACACCCTCGTCCACACTTCCACCTACACTCTCACTCACGCACACCACACCCACACCCTCAATTGAGAATCAAAACAATATTACAATTCGATAACACGAATCTTTTAACTGATATAGCTAGGTTAGTTCAATAAAATCAAAATTCGACAAATGAAACTGACAATATCCTTCCATGGAACAGTTACTATTATTTTATCAAAAAAACGTTTCGGATAAAGGGTGGGTGTGAATGACAAAGAAAATTACTCCCACTCACCCTACTACATCCACACATTCAAGATCTCATCTCTTCGAATAGTCAATGTGTTAATAGTTTTTAGGGGGTCGAAAACAAGTAAGAGATGAGAAAGTGGTTTAAAGAAGTCAATATCTGAGGATTACTTAGAACGCGAAATTCGAACATAAAGAGAAAAAAGTTTTTTCAACTTTCGACTATTCGTCGCACTTCTCGTCAGCTTTTTAAAGTCTACTTAGTTTGTCTTGATACATCTGTAAATTGTATTTGACATATTCTTTCCCACATTTGATAATAGTAAGTCTGTACTGTCTCGTCATTGTATAAAGACCATCAGTACTGTATTACATTTTATTTTAGTGAAAGATCAGAAGATTGTCGGTAAGTTTTCTCTGATTGAATATGATGAAACAGCTGATAATGTTCAAATGAGTAAAAATCCTAGTAAGTCATTTGCTTAACTGTTAATTATAATTGCTTAACAAACTATTTAATATAGGTTGTGATGCATACTGCAAAGATTTTATTGAAAACCGAAATATCACTATACTATGTTTCGATGTCGAGCTTCCTAAGATGGATATATTGCCAAGTTATGAGATCATCAGCTTTGATAATCCATTCAAATTTATTGCAAGTACATTATCTATTAAAGACAAGACAGTATATCTAATTATCTCAACAAGAAAGGGTCATTCTATAGTTCCGATAATATACAAACACTATTGTGTGGAAGAAATTTATTTGTATGGATCTACAGATACTGAATCCTCGTCCATGTGGTTTTCGATGTTCGAAAAAATCAGTGGTTCCTATACCAATTTTAAAGAGCTATATGATAAAATCACTGATCATATTAAGATGACGGTGAAGAAGCGATTATTATGGGTTCGATCTTCTGATTTATTTACAATGTTACACACTCAGCAAATAGAAAATCAATATTCTATCATTAAAATATCAGCAGACATATCACGCAACGAATGTATTGTGATTTTTCATTGCGATGATAGAATACTTTTCCACTCATATCAGACATCAATTCCTATCAAAGAATTTATTGCTGCAGATAAATGCTTCCAATTCATTAATCAACAAACTCAATCGGAAATATTTTTCATTATCTCGGGCAACATGATTCCATTCGAACTCCAGCCAATGTATGATTTTCGACAGATACATGCGATATATTTCTTTCGATTGACTGAACTCACATATCTAAGTAATACAAGAAAAGTGAGTGGATTATTTAACAAACTAGAAGATCTTTCTGAACAGCTATATAAAGACATCCAGTTTTTTCGAGAACAACACATTCATACATCTCGAATTGATATTTTTTCGACGCTTGAACAGAAACAAAAAGTTATTTCTCAGTTAAATGACGAGCAAATTAGTTTTCTTTCATACAATTTATTCATTGATATCTTACCAATAATGCCATTATTAGAGTTGAAATTAGAAGATGTTGCAAATATATGCAATACTTTATTTCCTAATCAAGGAAAAGAAATGACACATTACGGCAATCAGTTACATAAAGAAAGCGATGATGTAAAGAATTTTGTTCTGGATCCTAAATTTTCTCAAATCGTTTTGAACCTTCATCAGTCGAATCAATTACATGAATTGCTTATATTACAAAAACCATTTATTGGTATTCAAAAACGTGTATCTGAATCAGTCGAAATATCCACAATGGAAACCATATATCTTACCAGAATGATCTCGAGCGATACACTTAAAATATTAAAGTCTAGCAGTGGTAAATTTATTAGTATTGGGATGTTTATTCTTGCTACCAAGTCTCTTTGCGTAGCACGTACTATTGCAAGAAAGCTGGCAGACAATGGTCTCATATCTATTTTATTCCAGATCGAAGTTGTCGAAGGCACCCGCCTATATGAGATTGATCTCTATCGCGTCATATTTAGTCTTGGTGCAATATTTCGTTTGGAATCAATCGACCTGGCGCCCGATGGTGTTTGGTATGTCAAAATAAAATCTGCTGATTCGGGATTTCGAATGATAAAACAACAACTTCAGTTTGAGACTGACGTTCTATTATCGTGGCTTACTTACGGGAACTATTTATATTTTCTCAAGCAATCTCGACGAGCTAAAGCTTACTTCGACTATTTACTTCACAACCTTCCACTAGAACACATAGATCGGCTCTCCATCTATAATAATATGGCATTGATATACACTATGGAAAACGAGGAAGCCGGAAAAACAGAAGCAGAAAGGCTATATGATGATGCTTTGAAATGTGCGACGCCGATAGATTCTAACTCAAAAATTAATGAATGTATAGATCAAACTTGCAGTACAATCCTGACAGCAGCTGCTCCATTATCAGAAACTGATATTGATCGCTCGATTGTACTAGGCAGTATGGCCGACGTGTATTACCAAACAGGTGATTACAAATCAGCTCTCGAGCACTATAAACAAGCACTACAATTATCTGCTGACTCACAATGCCGTTCTTACTATCAACAGATGATTATAACTATATATGAATGTATTAAAAAAAAATGACCTTCCTGTTATCTAGATAAATATTTTTCTTTTTATTGTAAGAATGTAATTTCTTTTGTTGCTGTTGTTTCAGATAAAACTCAAAATATCTGATTGCAAATGGTAAGAGCAACTCACAGACAACCATTTATTGGTATTTGGTTTCATAATAATAATTTATCATCTGATCAGGAAGACAAAATGAAACTTTACTTGAATAAAACATTCTATTATTATCGGATATTCACTGATACGTCAAGTTTTTCTGCATATTTAGCTTCAGAACAACTGGTTACCAAAATATTTCTTATCATGTCTATACCGAATCCATATTTATCTTCGTTCGTTGAGTTGACGCAAGACTACACTAAAATCGTTGAAAAAATCTATGTCTTCTTACCTACACACTTCTCGACATTTACTTGTTTTAATACTACTTGTATGGATGAGTTATTCAAAAAGATATGTAAAGATATTGAAGACTATTATGTTAAAACAAATTCACGGAATCCCGCTGAGAATGAGTACTATAACGAACTTACACGACCTGTTTCATTAAGCGTCTTTAATTCAGAACTTAGGCAAAATACGCCTATTCGACACTTAACTAAAGAATCACTTAATTTCCTGTGTTTTCTTACAATGACAGACATACTTCTTCAAATATCATGTTACGACTCCAAAGAGCTATCAGACATGTGGGCAACGTGTCGCAGTCTTTATCGGGAAAATCAAGCCCAACTTGACCATATTGACAAATTAGAAGAAGCTTATGTAGCTTGTGAAGCCATTGAATACTACACAGGAAATTCATGTCTCTCCCGCACTGTTAACCAAGCTTGTCATAGTGAAAATATGCGGCAGATATTCAAATTTCGAGTTTATATAAGCGATTTGCATAAACAGCTGGTTGAGTACCATGAACAGAATGAAAAAGATGAACTCATATCATGCATTCAAAAGTTGTATCGTGGAAAACCATTATCAGGTAGCGTTTTACAACAACTGATTGATAATAAAGGTAATTTGATCTCAATGAATGGCTTTCTTTCAACAACAACGAACAATAAGGTGGCTTCTTTCTACCACGGTGATGATCAGGTTAGCAGAGTCAATTATGGATACAGACCAGTTTTATTTATACTCGAAATAAACACGAAAATAAAACAGCCATACGCTTATATTGCTACGTGCAGCACGAAGCCACACGAAAGAGAAGTTTTATTTTCACTTGGAACTATTTGGCGTATTAAATCCATTGAAGTAAACAAAGACCTATGCACCATTGAACTAACATCTTGTGACGAATTTGATTCACAATCAACTGAACTGCTCAATACGTACGCTAAAAATGGATGTAATCTTTCCTCGATAGGTGATATACTACTTAAACTCGGAGATGATGACGAAGCTGAATGGTTTTATAAAAAAATGCTTAAACAAAATTCCCTTAATAGTGAAACTCGCGCTAATTTATATTACAAAATTGGAAACATACGCTATGAAAAAAAAGATTATTCCATCGCACTCGAGAACTATAAAGATGCTGAAAAATTACTTTCGCCATCAACTAACGAATCAGATATCTCACCACCCCAGTTAATGTATGTGAGCGATACTCAATCACCTTTAATCGCAATATATAATAACATGGGATTCATACATGCAAACGATGATGATTCTTCAAAAGCAGTTAGCTGTTATGAACAAGCGTTGAAAGTGAAGAACGGACCGCGATCTCAAATAGCAACTGTACACAATAATTTAGGTCTACTTTACTATACTCGTAATAAATATGAAGAAGCGCGTGAACAACATACAAAAGCTATTCAGCTTACTGATGACAGTCATTCAAAGTGGATAGAGTTCAAAAGTAATTTAGATGTGGCTAATGAACGTTGTCAACATCTTGCGAACACTAGACTAAATACCAGAGATGGGATCGATTCGTGTTTTATTGGAACCGAACCTAATTCTACCGAAAAATTGCCAAACCGACTCGAACCAAATTGATCTAGTTTTTTAAAACGTCCAAATCAAACCGAACCGAACCCAAAAGAGCTCAAACCGAACCAAAACGAATCGATTTAAAAAAAATTATTCAAACTGAACTGAGTTTAAAAGCACTGACAGTAGTCGACGACCGTGCCCTATTCTTTCCAGGTTCTTGTTTTTCTTGGATTTCAGGCAAGGTTCTTGTTTTCTTGCCTGATTCTTATCTTTCTTGTGTTTTTTGCCTGTTTCTGCTTTCTTCCCTAATTCTGATCATATAAAAACAGCGTTTCCTAGGTTATTACTACATTTTTTATATCATTTTATTAGAAGCTTTTCACACCAAGTACAAAAAAAATGAAAGAACAAAAAAATACTTTAGTTTTCACACATTCATGAAGTGGTTTCAGTTTTAACATAAAAAACAATACAAAAAAGATTTTTTTCTCAAACTTCATTATCGTCGTGAGCATTTGATATCTGTTGACTTGCTCTGGAATTTTGCTTTGATAACTGATTCAGTGTTTGCTTTTTGTTGTCGTGTTTCATTTCTTGTATTGAAGTTTTTATTGTTTGACTATTTTGCGAAAGTAGCTGCTGGATGAAGCCCATGAACGCATGCTAAATAACCTTTAAAACAATGGAAACTCAAACATTAAAATAAATCAACGTTTTAAATGTATCTTACCTAACAAAATGTCAAATTCATCTGATTGTAGATCTTTGAATGATGCCATATCGCCATATGCGATACGTACTAAAGCTCGAGTAGTCATGTTTAATGATGGACCACGTTCAATATAAGACACATCAATTTTATTTAATTCCTGCAAGTAAAAAAAAGATCCACCAACAAATATTTTACACTATGTGTGTAATGATAATCCTAAAAAAGGTGATATATGAGTGAAAAAAATGAAGATATAAAGTCGACATTATATTTTGCCTATACCTAGAGGATTATCTTACAATAATTTTTTAAAAGAATTAATATTCTCTTCGTCCATCTTGAGGGTGTGGGTATGGGTGTGGATTCATATGGGCATTTACTCCATCATCACCCGTACGCACACCCAAACATAAGTATATAATAAACTTGTAATAGTAAAAACGAAGTAGATTATTCATTAATTCATCGTTCGCGCGGATTACAATTTGCTCATATTTTAATTCAATCAGAAAATAGCTAAACCAAAGCATTTACACGGGTGGGTGTGGGTGAATAAAATGAATGGCAGAAATAGTATCACCTAAACCCATACCCACACACACCCACGCCCTCAAAGAAGTGAAACCCGAATTATACTGGGGGTTATTTGAAGAAAACTATTGAAAAAATTCGTTTAAAACAATGGACATATGAAACAGCTGCAACTGAAACTCAAGTGAACATGTTGGACAATAATGGTGAAAATTTTAATTTTAATGGAAATTTTCGATCTTCAATCGATTATTATCAACCTTTTAACACAACCTTATAATAAGATGTTATACAAAAAACAAATTCTACAAATATATGAACACGAAAACATGAACACAAATATATAGAACTAGTCATACACATCATAATTATAATAATAATTAACTTATACATCATTCCTTTTCTTTGTTTCTATTCTAGGTTGATAATGATCGATTGAAGATCGAAAATTTCCATTAAAATTAAAATTTTCAACATTAATTACATTAAACTTACTTTTTCATTTAAATTGATAAAAATCTCAAGAGTATTATTATTTTTTTATACATCAATGTTGGACGTCTTACTGCGTTAAAAATAGCTGAAGAAAACGATCTGGTTAATTTAATTCTTACTTTACAAGTTATGGCGTATTTTCAACTTGTGAAGACCTTTTGAAATATACAACAGAATTTGTGAAAATAATGATTTTTCAACCTCGATTTAAACATAGACAACCAACACGTGATAGGTATTATGGATTTGTATAAAAATGCAAAGATAAGTTAAAAATTATGAAATAATTGTTCGTTAGAGAAAACATGAGGTGATGTTACAGTAAGCACACTTAATAGTTGGTTTGCTAAAGTACATTGTTTAATAAACCAGAACAAATCTTCGATTATGATGAAAGTACTTTCCGAGATGATTCAGGAAAAGAAAAAGTAGTTGTTGGTTGTGATACTAAATATGCAAATAAGTAAGTGAATGCTGATATCGCACAACAATTATCTTCATAAATTGGATATATGATGTATGTTTTTAGAATTCATGCTGGTAGTGGTAAAGACAGCACTACTGTCTTACTGACAATTAGTATCGGTGACGCCTGCTTTCTACCGTATGTGAGTTACAAATCTAAATGTATGTATGACATTTGGTGTCCTCGTAACGTCACCCGAGGGACTATTTATCATCGAACAGAAAGTGGATGGATCAATGAAGAAACATTTTACGATTATTTAAAATCAATGTTTATACTACAAACACAACACATACCACGACCTTTACTACTTATCTTCGACGGGCATACGTCACACTTCCTATTGAAAACAACAAAACTGGCTCTGAAGCATGAAATTCATTTATCATGTCTTCCAACTCAGCGGGGAAATCTTTTTATGCGTAGGTATGGGTGAAGGTTGAAAGAGGATAGACACCCACATCTTCAAGATGGACATTTTCTTTAGGATCACATTTGATTGTTCGAAAATAGACAAACGATAAAAATATTTAGAATTGGTAAATACAGGCGGATAAATGAAACAGAAAAAGTAAGAATTAAATACATATATTAGTTTACGCTATATTTCCATAAGTTGATTTAATGATACTTGTTTTTTTTTTCTTCTATACTAATCCTTTTTGAAGTATTATATTACCAAAATATACTTGAAATATGTTTATTTCAATAATTCTTTCAAAAATATCATTTTTTTCCTTAATAACCAAATAAATATTTTATCTATTCTACTGGGATTTATGTATTTTAGGTATGTCCAGTCAAAATTCACTTGAATATGCTGAGATCGATTTGAATCGAACTTGAATCATTTTAGAGGTGATTCCTCTGATCTCCGTTGGTTCTCCTTTACCACTACGTGTCGATCATTTTCATTCACCACCTGCAGGTGGTAGTGGTATAACAATGATGCGTCAAAGCCGATCATTTGACCGTATTCAACCGGTGGTGAGTGTAATTCAAGATCTCGATACATTAGAAGCGAATTAACTGAATACACAGAAACAAAATAATATTGAATAGGAAAATACTGAAAATGATATTCGATAATATATAAGTGACACAGAAATAGATTTGAAGCAGTGTGATACTGAGCGCATCAGCTTAAGTGAGAATGAGTGTTGAAACATAGAATTAGTTAATAGTTAAATAGTTGGAAGTTCGAAAATTGTTCAAGTTTAAGAGTAAATAAATAACCAACGATGTTTGTCGATTGTTTTTTGCAATATAATTATATACTGCTTTCACTCAAAGATCTGTGTTTCTTTTTGTCTGTATTAATATTCATACAGTAGACACATATCTTCTTGTTTGAATGCTATACTCAAGGATCAACCATTTCCAATGACCGCTGCCTAGAATAGTCACCTTTAAAAAAGAGGAAAGAAACAATGAGCCTTGCTCTTATTGGTTGTTTTATTCCTTGCCCTCACTTGAGTTATTTCTATTTTGTACATATTTTACGTTCATCAATTGGTGTACTTTTTTTCATCGGTCAAGGAACGGACAAGCAAGAGTTATGTGCAAAGAAAGTTATGTTCACCAGCAAATAGTACGTCTTATGTAGAAAGTTTTTTAAATTAATCAGCAGAAACTTAGTTTTTAATTGATTATTATCATACAATTTTAAGTATCTTATAAAAAAATATTCAAATTAGAGAAGTAAAAAGTTGGTTGTGTGTAACAATGAGTGTAAAGGAAAGGTGATATATATGTACCTTTCTCTTACACTTTTTTTTTCTATATACTCTTATGTTGATTATTTTAGGCCCCACAACCACCACCCTAACTCGTGCTGAACGAGAATCGACGGTTGACTGATGAAAATCGGCGGTTGACTGATGAAAATCGACGGTTGACCGATGAAAGTCGTCGGCTCAAGGAAAGGTTGAGAAACATGGAGCAGATCATAGCCACCCTCCAAAAAGCTTTGGAGGAGCGACCATCACCAGTTCCAGAGCGCAAATCTCGTGATTCCGAAGGACCATAGTTTTAAGACTTTCTTTTTGTTGTTTGTTTGTTCATTCTTTTAAAATAAAGTTCAATTTTCTTGCATATCCTCTTCTATTATTAGTTTGTTGTTCTTGAATAGATAATGTTTCATATGTCCATTTCGGATAAACACATTTGTAGAGAATCAATAATTTTATGGAAGTGATCTTTCATATGAGTATATGTACCTTTAAAAATAAAAAGAAAGATATCTTTAATTATCAAGTGATTCTTTCATATGTTCTCTTCTAATCCATCGTGTTCTTAGCTCAATTGATGGAATTATTTTTAGTACTAAACAATTTGGACTAACTGATAAAAGAGAAGCAATAGCAAATAATTCTTGACGACCTATATAACTATTTTAAAAACACATCTAATCATGAGCAGATTCTCTAAATACAAGAATAGATGCTACTAGATATGTTATTGAATTAAAATAGGTTGCAGTTTGATTCACTACCTGCAGGTTCGCAGGTAATACTTTTAATAATCATAGCGATGGAGATGGCATGATGTTGCATGAAAGTCTATCATTTGAGAATGTGGGTGTGTCTTTGTTCTATTATCTTAAGTTCATTCACACTTACACCCCTAAATAGAATTTTATTGTTCTTTCAATATTTGTTATCATTTCATTCGTTTTTTATTCAAGACAAATACATAATCAATACCATCTTGAGGGTGTGGGTGAT